AAAGAATGAAATTATGTCACGTGCAGGATAATGGATAAAAACTGGAGATCATCATGTTAAATGTAATAAGTCAGACTTAGAAAGACAAGTATGTTTTCCCTAATATGTGGAATCTAAAAAAGATATCAAAATAGAACAGAGACTGTTATTATACAAGAGATGGAAAAGGGTATATGGGATGATAATAGGGTGTATGACATGATCTAAATGTATGCATGTGTGAAATTACTGCATTGAAACCAAGTACTGCATTTTAATAGGCACTAATACATATTTTTAAACGTGCAGTTATTTTCTTTCCTTCTCTTAATGAGATAAGCTATACATTGACCAGCTTTTCAGTGTTAAACTGCCCTTGGTTTCTTGTAATAAAACAGACTTCATGGTATATTTTTTAATATATATTGCTAGATTTGATTAGTTTTTATTCAGGCTCTTTTCACTTATGTACATGAGAGATTAGTCTTTTTAATTTTCTTGTGATATCATTGTTAATTTTTAGCATGTGGGTTTCTTGTTGGCTTCAAATGTTGGAAAGTATTTCTCCTTTTTAATGTCTGTGAAAGTTTTTGTAAAATGAGCATTGTCTTCTTTAAATGTTTGGGAAAATGCCCAAGATAATTCATTAGCCAAGCCTATAGTTTCTTTTTGGTAAGAGGCTTTTCTGAACCAGGGTTCTACAAGAGAAGTAGGCCTTCAAAAATATTTTGAATGACTATTTTCTGAATTCTCTGAAGATGGTACGTTACTTGCACCATACAAAATCTACTGTTTTGAGTTACAATGGATGCCTGGGGCATTAAGTATACCAGTTACACCCCCAGCCTTGTCCATTTAATCAAAATCTTAGCATAAAGTTATTCATAATATCCCTTTATTATCTTTTTACATATGCAAGAATTTCACTGTATTCTGTTTCATTCCTCATATTGGTAATTTTTTCCCAGTCTTACCAGGTACTTATCCAGTTTTTTATTTTATTAGTACATGTTTGTAGTTCATGCAGTTTGCAGTCATTTTGGGGAATAGTTACATACATATCACAGCTTGTTTCTTTTTATATATTGCCTTTCCCTTCTCTCCTGCTCCCTCCAAGAACTAACATTTGGCCTTGTTTATTTTTCTCTTTTATACATAGATACATATATTTGTTTACTATTTTGCCAATTCCTATTTTTTACTGCTTCTTTGCTTCTGTTTTCTTTGGGTTAATTTCTGTTCTTTTCTGCTTCTTGAGATAGATGCTTAGATTTTCCTGCATTTTTTTTTTTTTCAATATATGCATTTGAGACTAAAAAATTTCTCTTTGAACACAGCTTTGGCAGTTTTTCATAGTGTGATGGGACATGAAATTGTGCTTGAGTTAAAAACATTTTATACTGCCTTAGGTGTGATCATTGAAGTAAAAATTATTTTTGTTATAGCGTCCTATTGGTATTTACATTGAAGTTCACATAGGAATTTATTTCTGTTATTATTGTTTAGATTTTGTACACCAAAAAACAGTTGATGTTGAAAGTATTGATGCTTTTTTATAAACCATTAGGTTTTTTTAAGTGCTCTTATTTAATTTCCAAACAGTTGCATCCTTTTGCTTCTTTTTCTTCTGCTTCTCTTTTAGCACTGATTTCTACCTTTATTTCATGGTTTTCAGAGAACAGAGAGTGCATACTATGTAATTGTATAGAATACTGGGTCTTGTTTTGTAGCTTAGCATGAGATATGTTTTTGGTAAACATTCCATTATTCTTGAAAAGAATGTATATTCTTTATGTCAAGTTTCTTAATGTTGTTTTTCAAATTTTCTACATCTACTAGTTTTTCAGTCTGCTTATTTTATTAGTTATTGCTCAGTATGTTTAAATCTCACTAACTTACAATGGCACATAAGTATATTTCTACTTGTAGTTTTGGTAGTTTTTACTTTTTGAATCTGTGTTATTATATAAATATAAATTTAGCATTGTGTTCTCTCTATTCAACTGAACATTTTATTATTATGAAATGTCTCTATCTCCAGTAATAACTATTGTTTAAATCTACTTTGGTTTAGTAAGGTATATAAGCATGTTATTTTAAATCAGTTTCTGCATAGCTTCTGTTTTTCCATTCTTTTACTTTCAAGCTTTCTGAGTTCTTGTAGTAAAAGTGTTCCTCTTGTAAACAATATATCGTTGGTAATGGTTTATTATCCAGCCTTAAAGTCTCCATCATTTAATTGAAATATTTAGCTCATTTGCATTTAATGTTATTATCAATACATTTAAATTTTAACCTATCGGGGCTGGGGATTTAGCTCAGCGGCAAAGCGCCTGCCTGGCAAGCGCAAGTTCCTGAGTTCGGTTCCTGGTACCGGAGAAAAACCAAAAAAAAAAAAAAAAAGAAAATTAAATTTTAATCTATCATTTTACCATTTATTTTCTTTTAGTCCTATCTTTGTTATTGTTCTCCTTCTTCTGAATTGTTTCTTTCAGAAGTTTTTCTTTTCTATTAAATCATACAGTAGGACCCACAGATCTATGAGAGATGCATTCAAAGATCTTCAGTGAATACCTGAAACTGTAGTACTGAAGCATATATATACTATATTTTTCATATATATATATGTATATATATGTATATATATGCACAAATTCAATGCCTTTTCTACCTTAACTATCGTACACTGTGACTATAATTTTTGCAGTTTACAGTATGGCAGCAAAACTAGCATGAATGTCTTTTTCCTTCTTCACAATTTCACAGGTTTGAAATAATTGTTTTTACCATAGATGTTAACAACTCTCCATATGATTCTTTTTCTTTATTGTGAACTTTCACCTTTTCCCTTAAAGTGCTTTATAGCTTCCTTCAGCATATCTGTATTGCCAGCATCACTACCCATGCACTTTAGGCCCATTATTAACTAAATTAAGGGTTCTTGAGCACAATGCTATGATACAACAGTCATTTTGATAACTGAGGTAGCTATTAAGTGACTAGTGAACAGGTAGTATATACAGTATGGATACACTGGACAGGAGATGACTCATTTCCCAGGTAGGACCCAGAGGAAAAGTTAGAGATTTAATCATACTAGAATGCTGTTCAATTTAAAACTTATCAGTTGTTTATTTCTGGAATATTCCATTTAAAATTTTGGGGCTGTGGTTCATTGTGGGTACCTGAAAGCATGGAAAGCAAAACTTTAGGTAAGAGGGAGCTACGACATAGCCTTCCACCTCTTGTTGTTTCCCAGCATAAAATCTTAAGTTATTAGGAGTTACCTTCAGTTAATATCTTTACTTTTCTCAGACAGTTTAAGGGTTTTAAAAGACTTTAACTCCACTTACTCACTCGCTTCCTTCTTTGTATTGTTATATATTGTAGTGACATATGAGTCCCATAAAACATTATTATTTTATTATAATCAATATTCAGTTAGATTTTTCTAGCTTTTTGCCCCTGCTAGTGTGTTTTTATTACCCTTTGCATTATTGTACTTGCATGTGTGTCATTTTCCTTCTACCTGAAGAATTTCCTTTAATATTTCTCTTTCTACAGGTCTGTTGTTGTCTATTTCAGCCTCATTTATGAAGGACAGTTTTTGCCACGTATTGAGAATTCTGGGTAGAAAGTTATTTCTTTGAACATGTCACAGATAACATATTGTGTCATTTGACTTCCATTGATTGTGTTGAGCTGTTGGAGAACAGGATGACTTTTGATACTTACAAAGTAATATATTCTTTTTTCTTTCACTGTGTAAGGTTTTCTCTCTTTTATTTTCAGCAACTTCATTCTAATATGCTAGTAAAGTTTTCTTTAGGTTTATGTAATGAAATTATCTGCCATTTCATGAATTATAAAAATTTGAATTCCTTATTTAAATACCTGCAGTGTGCATATCAGCTGTGGGTCTGCCTGTTTTGTCTATTGTTTCTTTTGGCTTTCAGTCATTAGGTCCTAATGGAATGCTGGTTATTGTGTTCGAGGGACTGTGGAGGCTCTTGCTGATATATCTTCCAGAGAGGATTTAATACTCTTCTAGAAGGCAAAATACAATCTGGGAAGATTATCCAAATCACCCAGGCCATCTGAATTCTAATTTTCTTCTCCATGGGTTCCTTTGGACAACTGAAATATCTGCTTATTATTTTATCCGTTGGTCTTTGCTTTTGTTTTTCAGCTTCTCGCTCTGCACACATATATAGCTTAGGAATGAAAAATGCCTTGGCAGGAGTATGAGGGATAATATTTGGCTTACCGTGAGTTCGTTTTCAGTGATCATGGGTGTGCTGCCTGCCTTGGCTGTCCTCCCGATCCTGCTCTCACAGTTCCAGGCAGCCAGTCTGCTGGCCTGAACATCTCACACCTAGACCAGACAGACACCCTCAAGGGGAAAGAGTGGCAGTGACTCTATAATATGCTACCATTATCTTTCAGACTTGATAGTTCACACTTTAAAAGAGCTTAGAAAATAGTGTTTAAAAATTACTTAAAGCAAACCAGGCCTTGTGGCACAGGTCTGTAATACAGTTAAAGTCATTTAACCTTTTTGTATTTCTCTTCTCCTTGGAATCTTGGCCCTCTAGTCCTGATAGCCTTTGTTACTTTTCACTGTTTTAAAATACTTAGGAGATTTTTTTGTTGTTGTTATTGTTGTTTTGTTTGGGTTTTGTGGGTTGTTCTGTTTTGTTTTGGTTTTTGTCTTTTGGAGACAGGGCTTCACTCACTATGCAGTTCAAGCTGGCCTTGAATTCACTTTATAGCCTAGGCTGGTCTCGAACTCACAGTGATCCTCCTGCCTCAGCCTCCCAAGGCATGCACCACCAGGCCAGGCACTAGGAGATTTGTTTTCTGTTTCATTTTATTCAGCTTTCGTTTTTGTTCTCAGCAGAAGAGTTGGGTCTGGTACAAGCTGCTTCTTCACAGCTGGAAGTATAAGTCTGCATCTGCTAAGTTTTAAATCATTTCTTGGCGTGTGTAATGTTAATTGCCTTATGTTTTACATTCTCCAGGATGCAGTGTCAGCCTTGCTTGCGAGAACATCGGCTGAGCTGTTAGCTGTTGAACAAGAATTAGCACAAGAAGAAGAGGAAGAACCGGAGCCAGAAGAAGAGCATCAGGGTCTAGAAGGAGACTGGTAGAACAGTCATTTTCCTTTTGTAGTGGCAGCCCTCTGAGGAGGCTTTGGCTTCTTTTAGGATACTACCAGGGAAACCTTTCTAAGTTCATGTCTTATTCTGGAATTATGGAAAACAGTGTGGCTTTAGGCAGCTATGGCTAGAGAAACTCTCCTTGGTTAAAGGAGGTGGTGAAGACTGTGGGCAAAGTTAACACATTAGCCACATTTTTATTCTTCTTCGAGGATTTGATTTTCTTTTTCTGTACTGAGATTAAACCTAGAGCCTTTGCACTGTGCTACATCCTCAGTTCATTTTTTTGTTTTAAGGTGATATCTCACTAAGTCACTAAGTTGCCTGGGCTGAGTTCAAACTTGAGATCGAAATGCCTCAGCCTTCCAGAGTACTGGAATTATAGGCCTGTGTCACCAGGCTTGGCTTGCTTTAGTAAATTTTTAGCACTATTTTCAAAACTCTTTTTTTAAGCGTGTACTATGTTTTGACAGACAGTGGTGGTGGCTTATTATACAGTCAGATAAATTAAAAGCTGGATTTTGATTTGTACTTTAAATACCAGGAGTGCCATTTAGGCTATGGTAAGACAAAGCAAATATTTGGGAGATATTTTCTCAATAGCCATTTCTCTATCTGTTACTACTGTTGCCTTTAATTCCTGTTTCCTTCTCTGTATCTGTACCCTCTGCTTTAAAAAACGATGGCCACGTTCACCCATCTACCTATCTAAAGAGCTATCTTTCTTGCTTTGTCCTGTTTTCTCTAAAAACAAATTTTAGTGAATGCTGCCATTTTAAGTGTATATGCTGGAAACTCAGATTAACTTTTACATAGTTATTTATAGTGTTATGTTTGATTCAACTGCTGTTAATGCACATGTGCATATAGCTATATAGTATATGCATATTGTGCATTTGTGTATATGTATGTATATATTAAACTTTTAACAAGCTCGGAGTGACAAGGTGTGTCATAAATAACACAGTCATGGACATTTGAAAGGAAAAGCTATAACAGTGGTATAAAATGATACAGAGACATTGCTTATAGAAAGTCAGTTATAGTGAATGAAAATCAGAGCAGTGCAGAACAAATAAATATGAGAGTGATTATATTTATCATAGTATCTTTAAATACTAAGTCTTTCTCATGTTTGCAAAGTACAATACTTGGTTTGGTTTATAAGTCATGGTAGTCATTGGTGATTCCCCCTTTTGTCCATCCCACGGTTAAATATTGAACAACTAGTACATACTAATTTGTCAGTACCAGTGTGTCATCAGTTAAAATTAAAGCTGAACCTTCAAATATCAGTGGGAAAAATGTTTCCATTCTGAGAATGTGAAACTGAGCAAAGCAGGAGATGTTCTAACCATCCTGATATTCCTGCTTTATATATTTTATATAAACTGTCTTCCGTTCTGGAGCACTACTTGTATTGCCATCTGAGTCGTGGCACCACTTTTGTGAAGGAGGAGCTCATGTGGCACCGAGTCTCCCTTTATGCAGGTTCTTTCTGCCAGATTATGAGCACAGCCAAGAAGGAGTATTTTTTTCAGAAATGAGTATTTTTAATTACTGTGTCTTTATTCACTCTTAGCTGAGAGTAACCTCCATCTATTATATAATTAATTTGATAACAAATAACTAGTAGCAAGTATTTTATAGAGCTTCCATATTTTTAAATGTCAAGATTAAATTTATATGAAGCATTCAGATATGTTTATTCTACTGTCTGGAAGTTAGGTAAATTTCATAAATTTAAAATTTGGGTACCAAATTATGGTGATTTTGCTGCAAATCGCCAGAAAATAAAGTGAGAACTTTACTTTTTTATGTGCTAGTTAAAAGTTCCAGTCAAAGAATGGCTTGAATATGTGTAAGTCCATTGTTTATGTCCTTGATGACAGGCTGATATGCCAGGTTGCAGTGTTCATGGAGGATGCCTGCTTGGCTTAAAGTGTGCTTTGTTTTATTTCGCTATAGGTTAACAATGCTGAGAGAGGCCTCTGGTGAAATTGTGGCTGAAAAAGGGGCTGAAGTTAAGTTGGCAGAAGACAGTAGCTTCACAGAGGATTTAGATTCATGCGCTAACTCGCCTGAGATGAATGAAGACAGGTGTAGGAAAGAAAATGAGTGTGCCAGAAACCATACAAGAGAGTTACCTACTGGAATACCTGCCCTGGTGAATATCCAGCTGTGTCTCCCTAAAACAGATGCCTCGCAGGCACCACTTAGCCTCAGGAGACACTAGTCTGTCCCTTCAGGTGTAATTTCATATTGGGATTTTGGTCCAAAAGCTAATCATGAAAGGCATTTATTGGAATGCTCACTAAGAACCATTGTAAATACTTTAAAAGTATTTTCTGGATTAAATAACAATAGCATGACTACTTAATTGTATCAAGTTGCAAAACTATTTCAATTTCAAAATGAAAGTAAACATCTGAAGTTAATTTTGGTTAGATGGTGTTCTGCTTGAAATCTCCTCTGGCAGGTGGCAAATGATGTGATGTAGGCACAGGTGCCAACCAAGTGATAAAACACAGGCAGCTTTGTTAGCAAAGTGAGAGACGTGTTGAGACTACCATCCCCAGATGGGGAAAGTCCTTTTCCAGCTTTGCGGATGCTGGCACACTTGGGATGTCTGTAATGGAGTTCAAAAAATTTCAATTCAATATTCCTAAGAAAATATCTTTTCTGACTGAGAACTTCCTTTTACAAAGAAGCAAACTTTCATCAAAAGGCAGGCCTGGAATCAAGTTATACTTGTAAGATAGAAGATGAACATCTGCCTGTGCCTATAGTTTGTATTTTTTTTTTTTTTTTTTTTGTCTTCTCTTCTGGCACCAGGAATCGAACTCACGACCTCGACCTTGCCAGACAGGCGCTTTGCCGCTGAGCTAAATTCCCAGCCCCTACAGTTTGTATTTTGAGACCCTTTCATTTTTATTTGTTATATTTTTGTTGCATTTCCAGTGATTCAGAAAGAATTCAAACTCAGCTTCACAACAGTTGTTATATATGTATAATTATATATTCTATTTAAATCCATAACTTTGTGGTATATTTTCATTTTCTTATATTTAATTATTTTTATCATTTATTTGGAAGAAAACTAATCAGAAAATACAGTGGTTAAGGATGATATGTTTTCAAAGAGGATTCTTTATACAATATCTCCAAATCCAAACCTTCATTTTCAAGTCTAACCTGTTAAAGGTGATCCCACTGTTTATGGGGAACTTTGTTGAACAGCTGCCTCCTATCTCCTGCGGGTAACTTCCTACGAATGCAGTAGAAAACCATTCTCCCCACTTTCCCTACACAAGTATTGTTCTCTGTCCTGCAGGCGTCCCTGGTGCTAATGACTGTGTTTGCCATTAAATGTTTCCCTCTTACTTAGAAGAAGGGAGCATAAATGTACACGCACCTATCAGCTCCTGACAAATTGCCAATTTCCCTTGTAGGTTGACAAAGAGACAAATACCGATGAAGCAGTTAGTGACAGCATGGCAGTTCGCCCCAAAGACCGCAGCAACCTGAGCTCTCGACAGCATCCTTTTGTAAGGAGCAGCGTGATAGTGCGCTCCCAAACATTTTCTCCAGGAGAGCGGAGCCAGTACATCTGCAGGGTGAGGTGACAGTGCTCCTAATGAAGCCTTAGGCCTTGAGTTTCTTCTCTTCCTGCCAGTTAAGGGCCCATTAATGACAAGACACTGTGCCTTGGGAGCTACAGAGGCTGACTACAAATACTAATGGCTAGAAGTGCCATAACATTGTGAAGGATGTCATACTCTCAGGGTTCTTTTTATTTTCCCACAAATTTAATGTCTCACTGGTTCTAGTGTAATTTATTTGGTGAGTAAGTGAGATTCAAGGGCTAGATGCTAAGTATTTTTGAACTTCTGTGTTTAGAAAGATAAAGTGGTTTTTAAGATATATTTTATTTCTGCTGCATATCATATATGCTTCAAGCCGGGTTAATCTTATTGAACTGAAAATTGTGACTTGGATTTTAGGAAAACAAAAATCATCTCTTTAATAATGCCTCTGGACCCAGAATCAGCCTCATAGTTCTGTGAAGAAGACTGTGGGATTTACTTTAGTTTACCAAATGATACTCCTAGAAGTATTTATGATTTATAGTAAGATTTGATAGTACATTATAAAATAGATTAGAAATCTTTTTAAATAACAAACATTCATTCAAGTCAAAAATATTTTTATTAAGCACATTGCTAGAAACTTGCAGACAAGAGAGACCCAGAGCCCTGCTTTTGCAGAGCTGTCTTGGTTACTTTTCTCTCACTGCTGAGACAAAATACCTGATGCCCAAAATTAAGGGAGGAAATGTTTATTTAGCTCACAGTTTATGGAGGTTTCAGTCCATACTTGGCTGGCTCCAAGGCAGAGTGGCGCATGGCACAGGACAACCGTTCATGGTGGCCAAAAATAGTAAAAGCAGCAAGAGCACAAGGGAAGAGTGGCAACTGCAAACAGCCTCTTTCTCTCCCTTACATGTGCAAACTACCCGCCCGAGGGGCAGGTGTAGCATTCACACCAATGATCCCAGCATTGGACCGTAAAACAGTCCTAAATCTAGAAGCCCACCCCATGACTGCATGAGGATCTGGGGGGGACATGCAGACACAAACCATAACAAGAGCTTTCTTGTGAATGAGCCAGGCTATAAAGGATATGGTGAATAATCAGTGAAGTGTCTTGGACAGGGATCTACACTGTACGGGGCTGGGAATTGTCAACAGGGCTCTGAGTGGGCTTCACTGAGAAGGCAGCATCCACCAGAGACCTGAAGCAGGTGCTGCCTGAGCCACAAGCTTTCTGTGTGTGTCTTAACTTGGACCTTGAGCTCTGTACTTTATGTAAACCTTTCTTTAAGGACACTTGTATTGAATATTTACTAAATATACAAAGGGCCATTTCATTTTTTAAAATGTATAATTACCTTAACTTGTGACTTTGATAACTACTACCAAAAGGCAGTTACTTAAATTATTTAAGAAGATTAAGACTTAAGAACTTTTCCAGAGAGGATAAACTTCTCCATTCTGATTTCTGCCACCACACTGTTTGTTATATGGTAATTTTTTTTTTAATCTTTTGTCACCAGTTAAATCGAAGTGACAGTGACAGTTCAACTTTGGCTAAAAAATCACTCTTTGTGAGAAACTCCACTGAACGGCGCAGTTTGCGGGTCAAAAGGGTATGTATTCCCTCAGCCACATCCCACTGCCCTGGACCAATCCACATTCAGGAATTGCAGAGCATAAATTCCAGAACTGCCAGGTGTCAGTGTTCCATGCTGTGAGGCTGTTGACTGAAGCCTGAGTGATCACACCGAGATGCAGACGTTAGGTCAGTTACGGAACCAGGGAGGATGTGCTTGAAAGCATTCATTCATCACTGATTTGGAGCCTGTTAAAATTTAGACTGGAAATTGGTTCTCAGTGTCTTGGGAGAAAGAGCGAGCCGAGCCCCAAGTGCATCATTTCTAACAGTGCTGCCACATCTCCACACCGTGTCTGGCTCTGGAGCAGTTGTGGGAGGAGGACAATACCTGCTACCTTCTCTCAGGAGCAGACACACTGCAGAGGAGCAGCGTTGTTGTTTACTTTTTGAGGCACACAGCTTTGCCTAAATAATTGTCTTTAAAAAATTAAAATGAATGTGAATGGGCTAGCGCAGGTCAAGTTTTCCTGAGGCCATCAGTCTCTGGCTGTGTTAAGGATAAGTCTGAGATAATATTTAAATAAATTAAAAGGCCAGATTCTTCAAGTAGTTCAGAAATTCCTGTTTACTTCCCAATGGCTGAAATACTAAAGGAAAGTTACTTGTTTACTGCTGTCATTTTTGGCTTAAAATGTTTGTTTGCTAAGCATGGAGTACTGCATGTGTTGGCCTCTCATCAGGGCGTAGGTGGCCACCCTTAGGAGTGTACTCTAAAGGAAAGACTCAGGTGTACACAGTATGCTGGGGAAGACAGGGAGTGAGCTTATCCACAGCAGAATCTAACAGAGACTCTGTGGAGTAGGGTTGGGTGGGGGATCCTGTGGCCTTGAGACCTGGGTAAGAATGCAAACAAAATGATAGCTTTGGGGCATGTAGGGAGTGTGTGGTGTGGGAGAAGTGGGGTGGAGTGACGTGGACAGGAAGGCACACGTGAGTGAGGAGCGCCCACATGGAAGGGGGGCTGGGGGCTAGAGGGGTGAGTTGGAATTACCCTCTTCCCGTGGTGCTCTGGTTTCATGCCACCACATGCAGAGTACTAGCTGTGTCTGTCTTCTCGCTAGTACTTGAAGATGGTAAAAAATATTTCTTTTGTATAAAGGCTGATGTGCCCCATTATTATTACTTATCACTCAGCATTTGTAGGAAACTCTGACATGTAAATTTTTCCGATAACCAAACTTTATACCCAAAGCTCCTAAATTTTCATCATGTTGAGTGAAAATTCCTCTCACCTTTCTAAGTCACCTGCCCTCTGAAGCAGCACATGCTTTTCAAGGATGGTAGCACACTTCAGGGAAATTTTAACCAGAAGTATTTATGAGTTGAGTGGACCTGAAAACAGGTTATTTATAAACTTAGTTTTAGTGCTGTTTGAACCACACAGAAGTTTATCCTGAAACACTGTGTAAAGATTGTTTTTAAATGACTTTTAGGGAGCTCCACAGAAATGAGAATGCCATTCCCATTTAGAAATTACAGCATGAGGATGGCGTAGATGTCTAAGAAAACCAGGCATCTGCAAAGACCAATCAGTGGTTTACCTGACTGGGAAGTTAAAGTGCCAGGAGTATAAATGATAAGGCCAAAGCAAGTCACCTGGCGAGTTAGGCACTCAGTCCAGGGAGCAGTGAAGAGCAGGCCTGCCCATGACAGGGAGGAAACAGGCGGAAGTGGTGACTGTCCATACACCAGGGATGACTTGTTGTGTTTTCTAACTCTCCAGACACTTTGCCAGCCAGTCCTCAGAAGAACAGCCCAAGAATGCCCGGTACGCACATCTCTAGACCTAGAACTGGACCTTCAGGCCTCTCTAACCCACCAGAGCCGCCTCAATGATGAGCTGCAGGCCCTGAGGGACTTGCGGCAAAGGCTGGAGGAGCTAAAAGCTCAGGGAGAGACGGACCTTCCCCCGGGTGTGCTGGAGGACGAGAGATTCCAAAAGCTCCTGAAACAGGCGGAGAAACAGGTACAGACTCAGTGTAGCTCGGCCTTGTTAAAGCCCGAGGCATAGGAAATTCCAATCTCACACCTCCACTTGGCTCAGAGGTGTTGGCCTCCTTTTTCTAGGCTTAGAACCTGTCTTTTACCCACTGCTATCAGGCATTTTAAAACCCCAAACATTACTTAAATACGAATACTGCCATCTGCCAAGCTGCAGTTGAGGGGCCCCCACCATACACACACACACACACACACACACACACACACACACACAGCAGTAGTGATCACTGACTTCCTGATAGGAAGGAAGTATGGTGGCAGGAGAGAAGGTCTTAGCCATTTCTCCTCAGCATTGTTTCTGTCTGAACAAACAACACATTTCTTTGAATTTTCTATACATAGCTCTTTTGAAGATTCATTAACCACATTAATTGTAAATATATGGCTCATTTTAATGTTCCTAAATTTGACTTTCTTACCTTCAAGAAAGATTAAAGTTCACATAGCTCCTTTTCACCCTATAAACGTCTAGGCAAAATAAGATAAAATCACTGATTAAAAAATAAAATATTTTAAAGGGACTATTTATATCACTCTGCCACCTACATATTACTAAAATTTTCAAGAATCTGCATGAATATCAAATTGATTTACTCCCTGAAGACTAGAGTTTATATTTTGGTATTGAAATGTATATTCATATCCATATTATAAACAGAAATTTTCATATAGCTGAAATATCACAAATGCCAAAATGATATTTTCCTTCAATCCCTTTGGGTGGGAAGCTGGAAGACAGTGGACACTTTCTTGAACTAAGAAGAAGATACTGTCCATAATGCAAGCTTTTCTCTTTTAGCTCATAGTAATCTTTTAATCTTCTAATTGTGGTACTGCTGGGAACATTTAAATCTTTCGGCTATCTAGTGCTCCTAAGAGTGCACAGAACTCAGAATTTAATGAGTTTCAAGAATCAGGCTGATATCAATAATATTTAGAGAAATTTTAGGCAAGAAAAAAAAAGAAAACAGAAAAACCTACCTCTTTCCTGTGCCACCTCCAAGAAAAGACACTTTATAGAAAATGGAGATGTTTGTCCAGCCTGGAGTTGAATTGTAACCCTATATTTAACAAAGCAATGAATACAGGATAATCAGACACTTTTTTTTTCTTGTTTTTTCCTTTTTTTATTTTAAAGACAAAAAAAGTAACAAAATAACAACAAAGACAAAAACAACACAATAATAAAAATGATACAGAAATTCAAAACAAGATAATAGGAAATTAATAATGGTTGTTATGTATTATTATCTTCAGTGAAGTTGCTCAGATTACCAGATGTGAGAATGCAAGATTGATCAATTAAATAGGTTAAAAATAATTTTTAAAAAATTAGAAACTATACAGAGCTTCACTAAACAAGATGGTAGGAATTCAATAATGGTTGTTATATTGGATATTGCTGTCTTCAAATAAGTTGTTTAGATTACCAGATAGAAGCATGCAAAGTTGGCCAAAAAAAATTCTAGCATTAACTGTTCCTTTCAGTAAACCAATAGACATCAGCAGTATAATTATCACAGCTATCCATGTATATACATATATATTTTTTTCCTTTCATTCTTTCTTTCTTTTCTTCTTTCCCCCATCCTGGTTGTTCCTTCCCTTTAAGCATTTTCTTTCTCTTTCACAATATCTATTGTACCTTTCAGATTTTATTTTACTCTTTCAGGTTCTTACGCTATGGAGGCAATACAATGTTTACACATGCAGGTCTGATTTATTTCACTTATGAGTATGGTCCCTAGTTGCATTCATTTACCTACAAAAGCCTCGAGTTTATCTTTCTTTACAACTGAGTAATACTCCCTTGTATAAAAATACCACATTTTTTTTTATCCATTCCTCAGTTGATGGGCATTTGGGTTGTTTCCAAGATATAGCTATGACAAATTGTGTTGCTGTGAACATGGGTGCACATATATCACTGTGGTATGATATTTTTAGTTCTTCTGGAAATACCCAGAAGGGAAATAGATGGGTTAAGTGGGACTTCTAATCCTAGTTTACTGAGGAATCTCCACACTGATCTCCACAGTGGTTTCACCAGTTACCTTCGCACCAACAGTGGAGAAGGGTTCCTTTTCCCCCACAGCCCCTCCAAAATTTGTTATTGGTTGATTTCTTGATGACAGCCATTCTTTCTGGGTGAGATGAAATCTCAGTGTTGTTTTAATTTGCACTTCTTGAATGACTGATGATGTGGAACATTTTTTCACATACTTATTTGCCATTTGTATTTCTTCATCTGAGACGTGTGTGTTCATTTCAGATGCCCATTTTTGGACTGAGTCTTTGAATTTTTGGGGCCTGATTTTTTAAAATTCTTTATATGTTCTGGATAGAAGTCCTTTGTCTGAAAGACAGTGGGCTAAAATTTTTTCCCAGTTCATGGGTTTTCTTTTTACTATATTAGTGATTCCTTTTGATGTGCCAAAACTTTTAAATAAGATGTGATCCCAGTTGTTGATTCTTTGAAGTATTTGCTGTGCAATTTGGTTTTTGTTCATGAACTCTCTACCTACCGTTACATCTTCAAGATTTCTACCTACTTTCTATTCCAGTAGATTTAGTATTTCCATTTTAATATTTAGATCTTTAATCCATTTTGATTTTACTTTGGTGCATGGTAATAGATGTGGGTGTAGTTTTAGTCTTTGGTATGTGGAGAGCCAGTTTTTTCAGCACCATTTATTAAAGAGGCTATCTTTCTTCCAATGAACATGTTTGGCCCCTTTGTCAAAGATAAGTGGCTAAGTGTGTTTGTAGTTGTGTCTGCATCTTCTAATCTGTTCCATTGATCTCAGTTCTGGTTTTTTTTTGCCAATACCATGCTGATTTTGTCACAGTAGCTTTGCAGTATAATCTCAAGTCAGGGATTGTGATGACTCCTGCCTTGCCTTTGTTGTCCAGCATTGCTTTTGCTATTCTAGGTCTCTTCTGGTTCTAGATGAATTTCAGGAATATTTTCTCTAGATCTATGAAGTATACTAATGGTATTTTAATTGGGATTGCATTGAATCTGTACAACAATTTGGGGAGTATGGCCATTTTCACAATGCTGGTTCTTCCTTTACATGAGCAAGGAATATCTTTCCATTTTCCTAAATCTTCTTCAATCTCTTCTTTCAGACTACTATAATTTTCACTATATAAATCTTTTACTTCCTTCTTTAGATTGATTTGTAAGTGTTTCATTTTTTGTATGCTATTGTGAAAGGTATGGTTTCCCTAATTTCTCTCTCAGTGTGTTTGTTGTTTGTGTACAGGAATGCTATTGATTTTTGAGTGTTCACTTTGTATCTAGCTATGCTACTCAATTTAGTTATTAAATCTACAAGTCTTTTCATGGAGGTTTTGGGGTCTTCAGTGTAGCGTATCATGTCATCTGCGAATAATAACAATTTCACTTCTTCCTTTTCTATCCTTATTCTTTTTATTTCTCTCTCTTGTCTAATTGTTCTGGCTAATGTTTCCAGCACTATATTGAATAGGAGTGGTGACAGTGGACATCCTTGACTTGTTCCTGATTTTAAAGTGAAAGCTTTCAGTTTTTGTTCATTTAGTATGATGTTGGCTGTTGGTTTGTCATAGATGGCTTTTATCAGAGTGAGTAAAGACCATCTCATCTGATTTTCTGTAGCGTTTTAATCATGAATGAGTTTTGGACTTTATCAAAAGCTTTTTCTCCATCTATTGAGATGATCATGTGATATTTTTGTCTTTGGCTGTATTGATATGGTATATTACATTAACTGATTTGCATATATTGAACCCATCCCTGCATCCCTGGGACGAATCCCACTTGGTTTTGATGTATAGTCTTCTTGATGATTTGCTGCATTCTGTTTGCTAATACTTTATCGTGCTTCATTCTGTTTGCTAATACTTTATTGAGAATTTTTGCTACTATGTTCATTAGGGAGATTTGCCTGTAGTTCTCTTTTTGGTTGGGTCTTTCTCTGGTTTGGTATCAGGATAATACTTGCCTCCAGGAATGAATTAGGGAGAATTCCTTCTCTTTCAATTTCATTAAAGAATTTGAGAAGAATTGTCATTAGATCATCTCTAAATTTCTTGTAGAATTCAGCCATGAATCCATCAGGACCTGAGCTTTTCTTTGTTGGTGAGGTTTTTATTACATTTTCAATTTTGTTGGCTGATATTGAATTATTCAGGATTTTTATATCTTCTTGATTCAACTTTGGTAATTCATATATATCTAGATATCTGTCCATTTCCTCTGTGTTTTCCATTCTATGAGAGTAAGATTTTCGAAGTCGGTGTTGATAATCTTCTGAATTTCTACAGGATCTGTAGTGTTTTCATCCTTTTTATTCCTTATTGCATGAATTTGAGCTTTTTCTTTCCTTTTTTGATAAGGTTGGCTAGGGGTATATCAATTTTATTTATTCTTTCAAAGAACCAACTCTTTGATTCATTAATTCTTTGTATTGTTTCTTAGTCTCCCTTGCATTAGTTTCTGCTTTGATCTTTATAATTTCTTCCCTTCTTTGGGCTTGACTTGCTCTTCTTTTTCTAGACACTTGAGGTGCAGCTTAAGATTATTTATTTGTACTCGTTCTGTTTTCCTGATGTGGGAATTAACTGCTATAAATTTCCCTCTGAGGACTGCTTTCATTGCATCTCACAGCTTCCTGTAAGTTGTGTCTGCAGTTTCACTTGATTGTAAATATTGTTTAATTTCTTCTTTAATTTCATCTGTGACCCATTGGTTGTTCAGGAGGGTGTTATTTAATTCCCATGTGTTTACGGGGTTTTTGCAGTTTCTTTTGTCATTAATTTCCAACTTCATTACACTATGGTCCAATAGTGTTCATGGGATAATTTCAATTCCTTTGCATTTACTTAAGCATGTTCTATGGACTAGTATACAGTCAATTTTAGAGAATGTCCTGTGTGCAGCTGAGAAGAATGTGTATTCTGATGTTGTTGGGTGAAACA